GGGGTGGGGTGGGGTGGGGTGGGGTAAGTTGGTTTTGTGTGCGTGTTTTAATTTTGGAAATCTTAAAGCCACCTTCCCCAACCAGCAACCTGAATGAGGAAAATAATAGAAAAGAGTTCAGCGTCATTTGACAAGGCAGAAGTTGTGGGGCATCTAGTAAAATACTGCAATATGGACATCCTATTGACAGGCTGCTGATCTTTTAGTGTTAATCTATTTCCTCCTTTCTTTTATTTCGTGGTTTTCATCTTGTTAACACTTGGGGTTGTTTTAAGCCTCAGTTTCTGTGTTTTGTTTGTTTAAATTGGAAGAAAAAGTAAATTAAACAATCAGGTGGAAAGGGAATAATACCTAAGTTTAGATATTCATTACTAATCCATTGTGGAATCGCTTTAAAATTATGAAACAGTGGGATGGATGTTTTATAAATAAATTTAATTAATTCATGTAAAACCACTGAATTCCTATTATTATTATCATCATCAGCTATAATATTACTAGAATATCAGTAAATAAAATAATATTAGTATTACAACAAGAGATCACAAGATGATTGCAGCAGGGATTTCTGCTCTTCGGCACAGCCATCAATACTCTTTTCCAGGTTATTCTATTCCATACCATTTCCTATTTCCCTACTAAAAGTGGAACTGGTTGTTTACCCTCCCTTTAGGGCTCCCTGCCTGCCACGGTCTTCAGTCCTTGAGCAAAACTCAAGGTTCCCCTCCAGCCAGTGGGGCCCCTTCCTCACTGGGGTGATTAGTCCGGGTGATTGGTCCACTTTGGGAAGCAAATTTGCTACTACGAAATAAGGATGAAATGAAAATGACAGCAGGGGTGGGCCTGGTGATGTTTTCAGATTACTCAAGACACCTTTTGTGCTTTGGGCTCTCCTCTGTATTTCTCGGAGGAAAATAAGAGTGAAATAAATAGACTCTCTGGAGATAAAAGCCACTCAGTTTGGGTGGCCCTGGGAAGCTACCAAGCTCCGTGGGATGGAAATGATTCTCTCCCCGGTCTTGTTTGTCTGCCGAAGCCAATTATAGATACTACCCCTGAGTGCAGATTGGGCAGCCCCTGGCTTCTAAGGAGGGAGATCCAAGATCTTCCTTCCAACGAACAAATGAAATAAATTTAAGGATGAAAACAGAAGGAGGCCTTGGGATGATGCCTGATGCTAACCCTCCCAGGTGCTTAAAAAAAAAGCAAAATATGGGTTAGCAGAAACGATGAGAAGGTTGATGATTTTGGAACCCTTAACAAGCAACCTTTGAGTTCCTTAACTGGTTGAGGTGACTTTCCCAACCTGGGGACTTCCAAAGACACTAATTTGCCTTATCCCCAGCTAACCTGGGCTGTAGGTGTTGCCAGTTGGGATTAGGAAAACAATCCAGTTGTCAAGATTAACATCCTGCTTGACCTGTAAAATCCAAGAGCACCAACTTCTCCATGTGCCCATTTTCTTGGTCTTTTTAGAAGAATAGACCACTGTGATGGGAAGTTTTTTTCTCAAGCCTCCCACTGGTGTTTTGTTCCCAAGACTAAGAAACAAGCCTGCAGTCCACAATTCACATTAAGCTATTTATTTACTTAGAAAACTGATATGGCAGTCCATCTTATATACAAAAATTCTGGGCGGCTCACAGCAACAGCAATAAAAACATGTAAAAAAATGTGATTATGTGTTTTATCTGGTTTTAGTGTAGGGTGGTGACATGTGCAACAAACATGGTTAAAACCATGGTATAGCATGATGGAGGAAGCCATCCTGTAACTCAGTGGCTGGACTTGCATATAGTTGAATCCTATAATAAAGTGAGTTGGCTTGGCCTTTAATATACTAACCCAGCCATTGTTCTTTACAGTTATTCTCAATTATGGTTTGTTCAGTAAATCATATAAAACAAATAATGGTTTAGCATACTGGTGGGGAACATTTTGAAGGCTGTTCACAGTTTGTGTGATTCCTGCTTCAAATGGCAGAAAATTGTGACGCTATTTTCTAGCAGCTATAGTCACAGGTAGCTCAGTGACCTTCGTCTTAAGGAGCTGAGTGGCCTTCTAAATATAATAAATCAGTAAATTAATCCAGATGTCCACCTTGCACTTGGCACAGTTGCATATTAGGGCAAAATCTCTCTTCCTACATTACTGGTGGCTTCTGTTGATTCACACATGCAAATTCCCTTATGGCACTTATTTTAACTTCAAACAATGACTCGCACATGTGAACAAGTCAGTCAACATGACCTACCTCAAGCAAATTTTTTGAAGCATGAGGAAGTGTCAGCTCAAACAAGGAGCATTCACACATTTAGCTGAGTACTGGGCTGGTAAGGTTTTTAAGATGTTTCTTTAGATGTTTCTGTTGCGTCTCCTCCTTCCCATCTAATAATCAGGCTTACTTTAGTTTGTAGATCTATGAGCAGACTTTTGTTTTTGAGAAGTATTATTTTTTCTCCTTTTTAAAAAATTATATTATTATTGTTGGTCACATAGTCAGCCAGATATTTAGACTTGATTTGGCATCTTTATCCACCTATCAAGTCCTTCCCAAGGATTTGGGATAGGCAGATGTTGTTGTTGTTATTTTATCTCCATTATGTTTGGGTTAACTATACCAAAGATGTAAGGTGATGGTACAGAAATCGTCCATTAAAAAAACATTTTTTTTTACAGTAATTAAGGAATAGATCAAATGCCATTTGTCCACAATGAGCCACCCTCTGGCTGTTCCCAGTGTTGATAAGGGATCACCTTATTTCCAGAGCTTGGTAAAAACATGAGGCCCTGTCTGAAAGTTTTCTCCCACTATTTCTGAGCATCTAATCCTTGGCAGCTTACCTGCTGCCAGAAACAGATTTCCTTGTGAAAATATATTTGGACTGGTTGCTTAGAATTCCATGCCTGCAAAGAAAATGTAAGAATCTCCTTGCGGCAGACAGATCCAAGTGCGCAGATCTGCTGAAATTTTGTGTCAGAAAGTTCCTCAAGTTAATTATGCAGCATGTGAAGGATTTCCTTTTGCCAGCACTGAATTTCTTCCTCATGCTTGGGTGGCTGTGAATTGTGTTATTGAGGTACAGAGAAAGATTGACGTTTACTCTGCACTTAGTTACACTAAGATCAGTGAGGTACTACACACAGGTAAGCGTGTGTAGATTTCAGCTTCTACCTTAATCTTTTCAGAAACTTCTGTTTTTGAAATTTATGTGCAGAAATTTATGTGCAGAAGGGATTAAGGCCAGAATTGGATGAATCTGGAGCTGGGTTGGTTGCTGAGAGCTCCAAGGAGCAGAATGAGAAATTGCTGGCAAGACGGGTATCTTTGGTACAGAAGCACATTCAGGTGGTAAAAGTGTGCAGATGGTGATTTTACTTATAGCTGAACATGGGCAGCATGGGAAACTTCTTAGAAATAGCCAAGATGGTTTCTGACAGGGTGCATATGAAATCAACCCAGCTCAAGATCAGACAGGGTGCCAGTCAGTCCTGTTGCGCCGAAATCAAGCAATTGGAAATACAGAAGCTCTCCAGCAAATTCCCTTTGCTCCACATTGCCCATTTGTGGAGGTGTTTTGGAAATTGGCATCGCAAACTCTAAGAATCAGAGGTCTTTGAAATCAATGCGTTATGAAGCTGATTATACTTGCTTATTTAGTAAAAAAATAATAATTAAAATCAGGGCAAGAAAGAGGGCAGGAATGATGTCCCTTTGCTTGCACTTTTAAGTTTTTATAAGTGCAGCTTTAATTTTTTAAACAATCAGCTAGCATTATTAAGAGGTTTTTGTAAACTGCAACAAAAGTGGCCACTACAGAAGAGTAATTGGGTTTTATTCTTTTTAGATGAATAGGATGATGATGATGATGATGATGATGATGATGATGATGATGATGATGATTCAAACTAAACCAGCGCTGGTACCAATCATTCTGCAGATTGGTTTGAACTCTTTTATCCCTAGCCCACACAGTTGACAGCTGGGAGTGATGGGCATTGTAATCCAACATGTCTATCAGGGTTGGGGGAAAGTTAGAAGAAGGTTGGCAAGAGACCTGATTGATATAATATATTAGAATGCAAATTATCAAGGTGGCCTGAGTTCTTCTATAAGTTACAGTTTATGTTAAGTATGTTGTTGGATGCAATGCTGAAGAAATAATAGGGTTTTTTTTTAAATCATTAGACAAAATTTATCTCATTTGTGAGAGCAGAATAGAATCTCCAGACTTGGGGAGTTTATAAATAATGAAAAATTATCTGATTCTGAATTTCCCACAGACATCTAATTTGCCATTGTTGGAACAAGAACATGTTGGAATAAATGGATTTTGGCTGGAGATGGAAGGTGATTCTTCTGTTCTTAAATGTGACTGAACTACGGTCTAAGTTACACCTCAACCCTCTTTTTCCTTTTTATTATCAAAACGCAAAACTCAACTACCATGTGTGATTAGTCTATTTTATTTTATTTTATTTTATTTTATTTTGTTTTGTTTTGTTTTGTTTTGTTATTTTATTTTATTTTATTTTATTTTATTTTATTTTATTTTATTTTCTACCCATAGGCAAAAGAAAACAAGGAAACCCATCCTCCTGTCTGCAATATTCTGGGGGCCCAGAGAAATGCTCTCCTACTTTTTCTGTGAAATCACGTCTCAGAACCCACAATATTTTCTACCCACACATCCCAAACACAAAGGAAGCACAGATTTCTTCTCCCCCCAAACAGCACAGATTCTTTGAACACTACTTCTTTTTAAGAACACATGCATTCCACTCCACGTACCTCTGTGGGTTCGTTGTAATACGATGTCCATTCGGAAATATCATGCGATTCCATTTTGACGGAGCCCAGCATTCCAAAATCCCGGAGAGGAAAAATAATTGCTTGTACGTGCTTAATTTAAAGGAGAGGGGGAATCCTGGAATTGATTTCTTAGGGAAATTTCACACTTTTTTCTTCCTCTTCTTCCCCCAAATGTGTTCTTTTTGAAATTCAGCCTAAGCCCACAGACTGAAATAAGCAAAGGAAGGACTGAAGTTGGAATGAACTGTCTGCCTTCCCCGTTTTGAAAGTGTGCAGTGGCAGTTTGGGAGCCAAAGACTTAATATGCCCAGAAGTCAGAGGAGTCAACAGGTTTCCATGGTATAGGATGAAAGAGGACAATCCATCCAATTTTGGGACCCGAAGTCCAGGATGACTTGCAGGAGGGCTGTTTTTGTGATGTGCAAGCTGTCTGCGTCCGTCTAAACCTGGACTGCTGGTTGTCCCGAGGTCGTCTCCCAGTATGTGAAGGGCTGTCACCTGGACAGGTTCGAGTCCTTATAAAGCTACCTCTTTATCCCAACACTCCGCCTGCTGGTTGACCGTTAAAAAGTTATTGCGCTCCCTAGTTATCTGGCGCTGGCAAGTGATGGAAACCATGTTCCTCTGCCACCTGGTGGAAGGGACACGGTTGGCAAGAAAGTTGGTGGCCAAATGATGTCACAGCTGAGAGTTGGTTTAACTCTATTGAATCGCAACACCTGGATGACCAAGCTGGCAAAGGCACACATTGCTTCCCAGAAAGTCTCTGGATGATTGGGAAAATGTTCGCAATTCACATTCTCCATCTTGTGCAGGAGGGCCTCCCTTCCCTCCTCTGAATTGCTCACCCCAGAACGGGTTTCTCTTGGGAAGGGGGCAGATAATGAGGACAGCCAGCTTTGAGCCTGTCACTGTAACAGCGGAGCATTTTAATGCATTTTTAATGTCTATTAATATTTATTCATTTATTCCATTTCTCATTTGCTCAGTCATTTTCTCTTGAGAGATGACATAACTATTACAAGAGAGAAAGATGTGAAAAAGTAGGTTTGACATAAGAAACCTCAAGGAAGCAAGAAGCGTCCTCCACCTTTGGCTCCTGGAGGAAAAGCAGGATATAAATCTAACAAGTAAATAAACAGCTCAGTATAGAGGTGTCCTTAGGAGGGGGCAAAAAAAGTAAAGGTGCTGGTCACCACCATGTGGTCAAACCGCTGCCCCTTTTTTGTGTGTGTCACGATGTGATTTAATGAAGTGAGCTGCAGCTCATAAAAGCTTCTGCCTTTTAATAAAACGCGCTACTCACAAAAGGTGCTACCATTCTCTTTCTGATTTTCAGCTCTCCTAGACTAACACAGCCAGAGAGTTACTCAACAGCCACCACTGCTCTCAGCTTGGACCCGCTCCTTGGCCACCACCATCTTTCCCACCGTCTTTTTTCTCCTTTAGGATCCACCCAACCCAGATGCAGTTCTGTAAAAGATCTGGTGTTGCTGTTGTTGCGGTAGAGTCTTGATTGCAAAGGTGTGGTGAGAAGAAATCATTTCCCACATGCTCAGGTTATTTATTTGGCTTCAGCTGGCCCACGGAGGCCAGTAGGCAAGAAGGTGGGTGAGCAGGCAGGCTGGGAGAAGACCACTGGTTCTTCCTCAGACTGTGAGCAAGTTGTCTTTTCAGACCATTGTTTTCATTGTCTGAGGCAGGTGAGCAGGTGAAGCTGCCAGTTCTTGGTGGGAGGTCACCTTGCAGCAGGACTGGTGTCTTGAGTAACGTGGTGAGCATTGCAGCTTCATTGGCTGGGCTGAGAGGTTCTCCCCTTTTCTAGGGTAGCTTTGTGTCTTCTAGTTTGTGACTCATAAACTGTTCTAGCCGGCTTCTGGGAAGCTTCTCCTACACCCTCTGACCTCTGCTCCTGCCCATGGTACGTGAGATCACTGACTGCCAAGAACCCCGTGCAGCACATGGAACTTGCCTGTTTTGCTGCTGATACAGCCTTTATATTTCATAAGAAAATGGTGAAGGTTGTCATGACGGAGCTCCAGTTTTCTCTGGGCAAGGAAGAGAGCACAAACTCCTGCTGCTCAGCCTTCTCCAGGGTGGTTGGGCATTTCTGAGGCAGCAGTTGGAGGAGCTGTCCAAGTGCACAGAATGAACCCCTGGCCTTTCCTTCCTTCGAATGGTTTGACAAGAGGACTCATGGGCTCTCCCCATGATTTGCCCAATGAGTTGTGCAGCTCCTGTTATCCTCTTCCTTTTTTTTTGTTATGCTTGTAGCGCTCTTTGGGAACAGCCGCACCTCTCCAACGTTTGACGTACACACTGCTGGGAATGCATAGGGTTGTTCCTGGACTGGACCAGCAATGGTGCTGCTGTCTTGAGCTTTGAATCTTGCATGTTGTGATATGGTTGGGCTTGCGAGGGACTGAATCCCTTCTCTCCTCAGTTCATCAGCCCTTCCTGTGTGATGTATGTGTGCAGCAATGTGGACACCATTCCAAATGGAGGGCCCATTGTTTTGGCCCATCTGGCTTTGCTAAGCATTGGCTTTACCTGCAAAAATGTCTTATTCCCCTAACATCCAGGAAAACATCATTTTCCCAGTTGTTAAGCAGCAAGTGTGCTTGTCTTGACCACTCTGCACATGGTGCTGTTTGTAGTGCCTGGTCTGTCTAGCACAGCTTCCTCTCAACCTGGTCTCCTTCAATGTAGTCCAGTGCAGTTCCTTAATTCCCAGTCAGTGCAGCCAACTGCTTAATTTCTGCAGAATACAAAGGCAAACCATCCCAGGTCAGGAAAATGACACCCTGGCTGAAGGGACACCTGCCGGATTGGACCCTTGCTCGCTGGGTCAGAGATGGATGTGGTGCACGGCCCTGCGTGTTATGTCACGATGCAAAGTGTGAGCTGGGCCGAGTGGTGTGCTGATCAGGAAGTGTCCCTGTTCTTGGTTTGTAATTAATCTGTTTAAGAACTAACGGTCTTAACGGAGATCATTGACACGTCTCTCCACTTCTCATACTCCTGGCTAAATCCCCATATTGTAACTATTCCCTAGTAACAGCATGGCACTCTTCTATTTCTTCCTCTTCTATGCCTTGGTCCTCTTGGTTCCCTTTCAGCATGAAACTTAAGCCCACCTTTCCCCAACCTGTTGTCATCTAGATATGCTAGATGAGAGTCTCCGACACCTCCATCTAGTGCAAAGGCTGGTGGGTTGATGGACATCATGATATGGCATTCAGCACCGTCTCCTCTACTCCTTAGCCTTTCTTGGCAGTAGAGCTACAAATTCTGCAGCAACAGTAGAAACTGAAGAAAGGCAGAATCCTGCTTTAATACAAATTTTGGTAACTTAATCCCAGATTTACAGTTCCTTGTTTCCTGAAAGAAACTAGACTGAAAATAGTCTGATGGGTTATTTGCTTAGGAAGTTAGAACATTTATGACTATTCCATGCCATCACATTTATAAATATTCCATGCCATCACTTGTCTCCAGAAAACATTTAGGTGGCACCACCATCTATCCCTTCTGGGTGAATACGGCCCCAGGAATTGTCCTGTGAAATGTGATAGGGGACCTCAGGTCCGTCACTACAGCTCCCACTATAACCTTCCTGACAGGGTTGTTGGGAGAATAAAATAGACAAAAAGCAACTTCAGATGCCAAGCAAAGTCGTGTGTGTGTATGTGTATGTACGTGTGTGTGTGTACACACACACAGACACATACAGTACCAGAGAAGGAGAGTAATACATGGAAAAAAAGATAAAAGTTTATTGACAGAGACAAGTAAAAGAAATACAAAAACAAATTTAACATTCTCTCTCCCCCTCTCCCCAAAGTCTTAAATGCGGGAATCTGATTCCCACATCTTCCCCTCTGACCTTTTCCCCTGTTGCAACACAAACACACACCAAAGTAGGCAGAGCCACCAATTGACGAGTGAAACAGATGTAGAACCACACACACATCAGACATTATGGGGGGTGCCCGTACTTTACTCCTCTGCACCTCAAAATCCCATCACACTGAGTGCGCCATTCCTCCCCCCCCCCCCCCCCCCCCCCC